GGTTTTTACCTAAAAACTACCTTGAAAAAAATGGTATCTATTTTATTTTGAAAGTTCTCTTGGGAAGCAGATCATATCAAAGTTTCAGGGTTTTCAACAGATAGACTTTCAGTAGAGCTGTGATGAAAATACGTCTTTTGTTCTTAAAGGTTTTATGTTTTTCAAAACACCAGAAAAATGTCTTTCTGCTGTAAAAAGGCTTTTATCTTTGCAGTGACTTGTGAATTAGGCACTGTGTTGCTCCTGATGTCTTATGGAGATAGTCATGGGGTATGTCATAGCTTTTTTTCACGGTGCTATGGGGTCAGGTTAAGTTGGAAATACCCTTTGCACTCCTGCACATCATGTCTCCCTGGTCTCTGAATCTTGGTGCAGCTTCACTCTGAGCAGGGATGAGATGGACATTGCTGGCTGTTGCGCTGCATTAGAGATCTACTTATTGGCACTGTGCAAAATGTCAAGAGACGGCGCATCTTAGTGATGGAGAAGATGTAGGAGTCTGTTTAGGCCTAACTCCCACTCTAAACAGGCACTTTTGTTTGCTTTCTTCCCCTTTTTTGTAGAAATTCAAATCTGATCTATCACTTCCCTGCTTAAAATTCTATAACGCTTCCCACCTATCTGTAGAACCAAATCCCTACCCCTGAGGTTGGCATGTAACTCCCCACAGTTTGCCACCATCCCAGCTTCCCAGTCTCCTTTACTGACATTCTGCATTGCCTGGGGAGGGACTGTAATCCACGGGAAAGAGGTTAGTTTTGGAGCCAGGAAGACCGGGCTTAAGATCCTGGCTTCATTCATCACCTCTGGCTCTGTGAACTTACACAGATTATTTAACATATCTGAGCTTCCCTTTTCTCTTCTGTGACAGGGAACTGGTAATTTTTATCTCACAAAGTTGTAGGGAGCATTAAGTAGAATAAGGTGTGTAGTGTCCACCAGAGGTCGTCTTAAGTTCAACTAAACATGCAGATTCACGACGCAACACAGGCCACATTTCTTGCCAGCTTGCCAGCAGGACAGCATCAGCAGGTCCTCTCAGCAGGGGCCCTGCAGCAGTTTAAGCAAGGCACAGCTCACATACCAATCTGGGGACTCTTGTCTCCCCTGGTGACATGGTTCCAAGTACAAAGGACAAAATCCACGTCAGGTAGGTGCAGGAGCTACCCTGAGAAGGAGCCTTATGCCCTAAGCTGCTAATTGCTCTTGTAACAATTCCTTGGCATAGTTTCTAGGGTTCCCCATGAAGGGCTGCATTCAGGGATGTCCAAAGCAAGACATCCTCATCAGATGTTTACAGCTCATTCATACTTCCTCCCAGTCCAGATGCAATTTACCAGTCAGGATCATTTTTGCCATAAGCAGTGTTGCCTAGCAATATAATGATGCCTGTTTCCATCTACCTGGTTTCCAGGGTGACAGAACTAGGTGGTTAAACCAAAGGTCAGATTCTCAAGCAGCAAGGAAAAAGCTTTGTTAACCCCTTCATCCCAGTATGCAACAGACCCCACCAGGGGCCTCGCACATGATAGTTATCAAAATATGCTTGTTCTTTCCTTTAATAAATATTTAAGAGCTTCCACTCTGAGTCAGGCACTGTGCCAGAGACTAGAAATACAGTGGTAAGTTGAACAGATGTGGTGCCTGTCTTCATACTGGTTCCTCGCCCGTGATGCCCTTATAATTGCTTCATTGCCTGGAGAACTCCTATTTATCCTTCAAAAGTCAGTTCAGATGTTACGTCTTCTCTGAAGTCCATGTACACTCTACTCCCCTAGCACTTTGTCTGCATTGCCCTGAATTCACAGACTGGTTTTGGAAATCATTAATCCTCTAAAGGAATATGTAAATGGTGTGCATGTGGGAATGTATGTTTGAAAGGGCTAAAGCTTTTATCAGATGTTCAAAGGGGTCTGTGCCAGCCCCTCCAAGAATTTAGAATTGCTACTCTGTTAGAGCATTTGTTATATTATGGTTTTCTTGTTTGTTTATAGGTCTATATTTCCTACTAGAATGTGTATACCTGGAGAGAAGGGACTGTACATGTTAATATTTTGTGTCAGCACAATGCCTGATTCATAGTAGACTTTTAGAAAACATATGTTGAGAGAATCGCTTCTTAATATCCCTACCGGGCTCTGCAGCTTGAATGATGCTAGTGGTGCAACATTTCCTAATTTGAAAGGGAGAGCTCTTCTTTATATTAAAATTTGACTTTGCTCGTTCCAGCTCTGTCGTCTGGAGTTATAAATTGTCTATCCTCTTGCATATTGTAAATGCCCTTTTATGAGACTTATAGTTGATTGGGGAATCAAAAAATAAAACGGTTAGGGGCCGGCTCCGTGGCCGAGTGGTTAAGTTCGCATGCTCTGCTGCGGCGGCCCAGGGTTCGGATCCTGGGCGCGGACATGGCACCGCTCGTCAGGCCACGTTGAGGTGGCGCCCCTCATCCCACAACTAGAATGACCTGCAACTAAGATATACAACTATGTACCAGGGGGGTTTGGGAAATAAAGCAGGAAAAAAAAAGAAAAAAAGATTGATAACAGTTGTTAGGCCAGGTGCCAATCTTTAAAAAAAAATGGTTAACACAGGGGAATCATTAAAAAATGATACAGTTACATTTTAAATGTTTTGATTTAAAACATGCAAATGTACATTACTAGTGTTTTATTATAGAACCAATGTCTTTTTGTTGATTATAAGTCCACTGCTGTGTAGCATGTTTTACTTAAGCCATGCTAAACTCATCTCCAATTTCCAGTTTGGGTTTCTTTAAAGTAGAATGAAAAGTTAGACGCTCAAAGCGATCTGACTGCAGAATTCTTTTAGACTTTTACTTTTCCTCCCTCTCCCCAGTGTGCTACAGTTATATCGCCCACATTTAAATCACCGGTGATTTTTTTTAACAATTAGCTTTTATCTAGTCTGAAATCTTTAGTTTTCAAAAGAATAGTAACTCATACATACTATTTAATTAAATTATGTAACTAGAATGACATGTATGAGCGGTAGAAATAGGCCTGTGATCAGACACAGTTGCCCTTGGGAGGCGCTGGCCCACTGATTGGAGCGGAAGTGTGAGCGTGTTCAGGCTGCTTTAAGCGTTCACGGTGGATGGGCGTTAGGAAGACCATGAGCGGGTTTCTATTCTCAGTTTCTCTCGGGATAAATGACTTTGAAATTTCCTCATTATCCTGCCCACTTTTTCTTCTCCCCTTAGAATACTGCACTGCTTAGTGTGGCACAGAGGTGAACCATGATACGCTTTCCTCCTGGTAAAGTCTCAGGTGTTTATTGTTGTCCAGAAAAAAAGAAACTGTTGGAAAAAAAACCAAAACTGGTAGCGAATATAAGAGGCTTTTTAATAGTAAAGATGTTCTAAGCATTGAAAACAGAGTGGTGCTTAATTTCTGTCCTCTTGAGTGTGGCCTGGACTTACTGACTTGCTTCTAAGGAATAGAGTACAGAAGGAGAAGTAGGAGCTTTATGAGTAGAGTAAGCGAGCAGATAACACCTTCACCAAGAGATCAAGGTTAACATTACCAGTGATAAGTTATGTTGATAGAATGCACCCTCTGATACGATGTGATGAGAAGGACACTTCGCCTCTTTGGTTTTCTTCCCCTAAAACCCATAACCCCAGTCGAATCTTGAGAAAATGTCAGACAAACTCAAATTGAGGAATGTTCTCTAAAATATCTGACCAGTACCCTTCAAAAATCCCAGGGTCCTGAAAAATAAGGAAAGACTGAGAAACCATCACACACCAGAGGAGACTAGGGCAACATAATGACTGAATGCAACAAGTTGTCATGCATCAGATCCTAGAGGAGAAAAAGAGAACGTTAGCAGAAATAACTACCAAAATTCAGATAAAGTCTGTAGTTTTGACAAATCTTCATGGTTATGTAAGATGCTATTAACATTAGGGAAAGCTGGGCGAAGTGTATACGAGAACTCTGTACTTTTTGTAACTTTTCTGTAAATTTAAAATTATGCCAAAATAAAAAGTTTATTAAAAAATATTAATGGGAGAAATCATAGAAGAAAGGGTTAGATGATTTAAAATGTAAGACATGTAAACCAAATTAAAAGGCAATTGCACTAAAAAATATTTATCACAGATTATAGACAAAGGACTAATATTCTTAATATAGAATATACGTTTTATAAATTAATAAGAACATACTAACACCTTATTGGAAAATAGTCATCGATCACAATTCACAGAAGAAACACAGCAGTCGATATATATGAAAGCCAGTTCAATCTCACCAGTAATTATAGAATTGCCAATTAAAGCAGCATTGAGGACGTTTTCACCTATTACGTGGAAAAATGATAGTATTCAATTCTGGAGAAAGTAGGTGGAAGAATTATAGATTGGTATAGCGTTTTTTGGAAAGCATTTTGCCAATACAGATATTGGGTTTAAAAATATGCATAGCATTTGTGCTTGTACTCTCACACTTATAAGTTTTTTTCCCCATGGAAATAATCAGATATATACACAGATTTTCTAATAGGAATGTTCATCACAGGATTGTTGATAATGAAAAACTCAAAACCCAAATATCTAACAGTTAGAGAATGATCTAAAAAGTTTTGGTGTACCTATGGAGTAGAATGGAGTCAATAAGAGTCATGATGTAACTAAATAAAAAATACAGTTTGTGTATATCCTCTGATCCTAGACTTTGCATGCATATGTACAACTATGCCTCTTGAAAGGATGGCAAGGAAATATACCATCATGTACAAAGTAGTTCCTTATCCTTGGTGGTAAAGAAAGGGTGATTTTTGTTTTCTTTATACATCTCTGCTTTTCAAAACTGTCTATAGTGAGTATATAGTACTTTTGTAATCTGGGTGTGGGGGGAATTGGCATTGCAACCAGTGTAGTTAATGAGTTTCTTTTTTTTTCATGCTGATTTCATTAAGAAAATGCTACATTTCCATTTTGTGCTGTAAAAAATAGTTTTTCCTCTTTCCACTAGGAAGCTCCTCAGGGTGCTCCCGCTGCCGAGTGAGAACTGGGGAGCTCTAGTTGGAGAATGGTGTTGTCATCCTGACCCCTTTGCTAATAAGCCGCTTCATCCTCAAGAGAATGACTGTTTTATTGGAGACACTTTCGTCTTGGTGAATTTAAGAAGTGATTTGTGGCAGCCAAGACCTGAGCTAGTCCCGCTGGAGACACACTGTCTTTCTTCTGAGAACCGTTTTCAATTGGTAAAATATCTTTTCAAAATAAATGCTAATTTAGAGGTTGGTTTAGACACTGGTTTCCCCAGTCCTTTCTTAATTCAGGGCATCTTACACAGACTGTTCTAAAGACTGAAATCCATTATTTTCAACTGCCTCTGTTCTCCAGCTCTGCTCTGTTGATCTAGGAAGGACATATGGCCTTGAACAGAAACAGTCACAGGGCCTGGAGGAGGAAGGGGAAGACGCCCTCTTCATGCATAGAATTGGAAATGTTACCATTTTCCAAAGAAAATGCTCTGCTTTCTTGTTTTTAGGACAATAGTATTCCAGAATCCAAATACATCTTCTCCTCATAGTCTGATTTAAGTTAAAAGTGTTCTCTTGCTCCAGGATGTCTAGTATAGACTTAGGCCTAGGTATTTTCTTGTGCCTACCATAGTCTAGACTTGTGCTGATGTCATAAAAGCAGATGCCATCAAGGAAAAAGAGGAAATGGAGGAGCCCAAGCGTGGAACTAAGGCTCGCGCTGCAGGCTCTGAGTTGGTGCCTGACAACGAGAGGCCAGGTGGCTCTCGCTGTAAAAGTTGCTTTAGGGAGAAAGGAGTTTCATCTCACTGCAGAGAACAAGTGGTTTACCTCATTTTAAAAGGAAATCCATGGCATTGACTTGGCCCTGGTGAGAAATCGTTCCCCTGATGGCAAGTCAATGTGGATGTGATTTAAAAAGTAAAGAAAATCATTGCCAGAGAATCTTCATTTTAACATGTGATTATTCGTAGGAACAAAAGCATTGCATGTTAAATTTTATTTAGAACTCACTTAGTTTTTGTAGTGAGAACTGAGCCACTTCAGGAAATACTCAGCAGTTGGGCAGCTCTTAGGTTGTAAGTTAGTTTATAGAACTATTTTCTGTTTTGCAGGAGATTAAGGAAGTTCATCAAATATTGAGGTTAAGTTGTAAGAATTATTTATGTGCCTTATGTCTCATCATGAACACACGTCCCTTTATCTAAATATGGTTCATTTTGAGTTATAGTACTTTAGCCTTCTGTGTTTTTCAAAGATGAATGGTCAGAAGTTAATATAAATCTGTTATAATTATGTTTAATATGGTTATATTAAAATTATAGTTTAATCGAAATTCATATACGAATACTTTACTATTTTATGTGTTTTAACTTTCATTTTTATGATTAAGCTATAAATTTTTAAAATATTTGGAAGGTGTGAGTAGAAGAGGAGTGGATAAAGATTAAATAAGAGAAATGTGTTTCCCTTTTTGGTTAAACTCTGCACTCTGTGGAAGTATATTCTTCACATTTGCATCCTTATCAGTTACTTGATGCCATTTACACATATTTCTCTTAATTGTGAACAGCCATCGTATGTGTTAAAGGAAGCCCTATCATATTCAGACATTACGGTTTTTAGTATCAAAAGACTATGGGAAATTACTATCATGACAAGCTACTGTTGACAAGATTGTTTTCAAGTTAGCCTAGATGGAAGTCGCACTTTAATTGCATATTGCAACAACTGAAAGAGTATGCCTGTGACCAAAATAGTAACATAAATTTGGAAGGACTGCTTAAGCAGTGCTCTCAAGGCCCCTGTGGGAACAAGGCTGCTCTGTGCTATTGGAAACCTATTTCTCATCTCACCCAGTCTGGCCATCTAGCAGGGTTTTGAAATGTCACATGGTGACACAGCATCCTAATGGTATCTCTTGGGACACATTTTTTTGGCGAGACACTATCAAGGGTCCTTAGAAATTGAAACAACACGAAGGAAATAAAAACGAGGACAAGAGGCTAATCCGCCTCTCTGAGCAGCAGTGCCATCTCTCAGATATATTGACTTAATTAGTCCACAACAATGTCTTTCTTTGATGTTTGCTCGTAGAGTTCCCACACTGTTAGGTTGCTTCGTTGCACAACTTGCTTTATTATTTCCTTTAAGCTTAGGTCAAAAAAAATATATTACAAAGCAGAGTTTCTCTTTAAACGAAATTAAAAGCGTTATAATATTTTAATTAAAAAGGTCTGATTTTAAAAACAGTACAAGCAAGCAAACGTAAAGTCCAACACTTATTTCTTTCCTTCTGCCCCCCCGAGAATGTCCACGGTGTTATTTGTGCCTGTGTAAATGCAGCCAGTATATAACTTTTGTTTTCAAAAGGGATCTGTTGAAGATTTTCCTATTCTCGCATCTGTTTGTTATCTCTTGTGCTATTTCTCATGTCTGCCACCATAATAAAATTTTTGCATCTTAGGATAATAAAGGTGGCACCTCAATCTTTTATAAGATTGATCATATTATTCCAGACTTAGAAAGCGTGGCCACACTTAGGACTTAATTCTATTCTTTAAAAAACAAATAAAATTGAACTTTGATTTTATTACAGCTGGCAAGTATGACTAACAGCTTTACCTTTTCTTTTCTTTTCTGGGGTACTTAGCAATAATTTATTGATTTTGGTACTTTGTTTTATTAAATCCATAAGGGTATCTTTGTATTTTCTCAGAAAAATGTGCTATTGAACTTTGTAAAGATTCATAAATGTAAACAAGAATAGTACTATGAATTTCAGTACCCCAGTCATGGTGGTTCATGAAGTATGTTCTATCTGTCCCTTTTTTATTTTTATTTTTTGCTAAAGTACTTTAAATCAAACCCCAGACATTATGTCATTTCATCCCTATATGTTTCAATATAAATGTCCAAAAATATGGAGTTTTTTTATGTAACCACAGTGTCATTTTTACACCTGACAAAATTAACAGTCATTACTTGATGATATGATGTCAAGCTATGTGTAGATTTTACCAGTTGTATTAAAAATATCTTTTACTGTCAGTTTGTTTAAATCAAAATCCACACATTTGGTTCTTTGAGGTAATTTGCTTTTTATTGGTCAGATTTTAAAATCCTAATTACTCATATCTTGAAAAGGTAGAATCTTCTTTTAAAAACAAACCAACAAAAACCACTTTTCCTGCTTCATTGAAAGATGAGGTGAAATGTGCTGTAAGAGCAATTATAATGAAATACATAAACATAGAACCTGATGAAAAATTTTGTTTCGAATAGAAAAATCCTTTCTTCTCAAGCATTGCCACTTTAATACCCTATATTAGTTTTTAGTAAAGCCCTTAGCTTTTGGTAAGGTTTAATGAGGATGGTCCAGTTTAACTTGTACAAAATAGAATCCTTTAAAAAAGTGTCTTTAATACCAATTTGGAGCCATACAGATAGATTTTACTGTAAGAAAGCATGAAACTGCCAATGTCAAACTTTACGGTTGAGCAAACCTGGATTCTGAGCTGTCTTCTCCCTGTAACCTTGCCTGGACCTGAGCAAATTGGCACCTCCCTTGGCTTTTATGTCTGTGGCTTTTGACTTTTTTTGACCTCTAACTAAAGTAAGAAGTACACTTTTTTTCATAAAGATCTGATAATACACACACACATGCACACACACACTCCTCAAGTAAAAGTTTCTTGAGGCAATACTTACCCTTTGGTTGAAGCCCTGTGATATTTTCTGTTGTATCAGGTTGTAGCCCATTGAGTTGATTCTGTGAATTGGTTTGGAAAACACTTGGCGTAATACTTAGAAGCACAGGCTTTAACATCCAGGGGACCTGGATTCAAATACTAGCTCTAGCAGCACATCCATGGAACTCAGTTTAAATGTGCTTCTTATACATCTTTTCAGGGAATAGTTATTTATGCCAGGGGAAATATAATTGTACTAGTTAGTTAAGACTTATTCTTAGATTAATACATATGTGATGTCACTCAGAAAGTCACTGTCCTTCCTCTCTTAGACCAGCACTCTATTCTAGGTTTTCCAGGATGGGTAAGCTCAAGTGGTCAGAGATGCAGAACTTCCTTCTCCCTGCCCACTTTTACATGACTTCTGCCGTGTTGCAGTATGTGTGGGTGAGAGGAATGTTGTCTGGCTTTAACAGAGGTATTAGTAGGGATGTGAAAAGAGCATTCTTTTGTGTGCTAAATGATTAGGTGAATGCCAGCTATTTTAATCTGTATCCTAAATGATGAATTTGGATTTCCAAAGTTTGAAAATTTTTGTTTTGAAATTTAAGAATATTTCAGGAGTTTGTCCCAGAACACTATTCATCACTCCAGTTACAGTGCATACTTAAATAGGAAAATAGAATTATATGAGCGGGTTAGGTATTTTTAACTTCTGATGAGTGGTTATGAATTATAGATTACTTTGACATAAGTTACACTGGACTAGGAATCAAAATAATAGGAATTCAAGTTCTGATTCTTCTGTTTTCTAGACATGTGAGTTGGGGCAAGTCAGCTACCCTCGCTGCCCTTCTTGCCCACCAGCTGCCTATTCTAAGTGATAAGGATGTTTGGAAATGCTTTTTAGAAATGTAAGGTGCTTCTTGTTCAAATTATGTGGCAACATTGAAATTATCAAGAAGTAGCTAGTTTGGAAAAATCAATCCAGTCATTATTCTGTCTTTAGACTAGAAAAAAATGATCTCTGTGCATGTGAATTAAGCATACAAGCTAAATGTATTCCCAGTATTTAGTAGAGGGCAAAGTAAAATGTAAAGTTCAATGTGTGCTCTAGAGACTATGTTAAAATTATATATTCCTTTTAAGAAAAGCTGAATGACATTTAAATGACATTTTTCTCTTCTACAGAAACCAAAGGCAAATACCAAAGTAATTTGTAAGCGTTGCAAGGTAATGTTGGGAGAGACCATGTCATCAGGTGAGAATTTCAAAATAAAAAAGCCAACGTGATTACCCTCTTGTTAAAAAACCAGTAGAAGGAGATTTTATAGGAAATATGCGTGAAAGATGGATGACTAAATATGTTGTAGAATTGATGCTGTTAAAAATAGAAACCAACTAGCATGTCGTCCAACACGCCAAGAAGTTTGTGTATTTTGTTCTTTATAAGTACATAGTATTGAGTTTTAAGCATTAAGAAGTTGGATCATTTTCAGTGTCACATACCCTTTTTATAGATATAAAGCAATAGTATAAAGTTTGTACTTGGATCTGTTTAAAAGAAGATTGGAGCTTTTTTTCTTAATACAATTTCTCAATCAGAAGAGTTGCTTGCCAGAGATGCTTGAAGAGTCGCTTTTCTTGGCTGCCGTCTGGCTCAGGGCTGTATTTTGGGCCTGGGGGTGGGAGAGAACCTGTTGAAATGGAAGAAGACACATTCTGAGTTTTGTACTCTGTTCCTTATCTTTTTCCCAATGGTATTAATTATATTTTATATAAAGTCTATGTTATACCACTTTAAAATACAATAATGAAAATCCTGATAATTAAAATGCATCACTATTTAAAGATATGATATAAAAATGTCTAGAGAGCTGCAGTATGCTGTGTTAGCTTTGTGGGTGATGAATGATTGTTTTTAATATAATTAATTAGAAGATGTGATTTAAGTGAAGCTGTTGTACTTAAGGGAAGACAGATGGTGATATTTTTTGTTTGTTTTTTAAAATCATCAGAATCTTGTAAGCAGTTACTTGCTCAGAGTGAGCAGAAAAGGAAGAATGAGTACTAGCAAAGGATGCCACCCTCAATGTCATTTTTGGAGAATGAAAAAAAGCCCCTTAGGCAACAACTTAGAAAATTTTAAGGCTTCCAGTTAAATAAGGTGAATTGACTTTTTTAATTCTTTCCTCTCCTCCCTGAAGACCGGTTAAAATATCAGTTAAGGATTAAAAAGGATGTACATTCAAAGAGAAGTGGAGAGGAGGCAACAGTGATGCTAACAACAGGTGAAAGCAAACTTTGTTTGGAAGCTGTAAAGCTGACGCAGGTGTGGGCGCGCACTTGGCCGTGTGGAGGAACCTGTAGTCCAGGTGTCTACGGGAGGTCGTGTGGGTGAGGAGTGAGCCAGCACTTACTGTAGAAACCCAGAACTGGTCCGAATTTGAAGGCAGCGGGCAACAGGGAAGGCAGTAAATATTTGTTGAAGGAATGAGTGAATTGAGCTTTTTAGGACATCAAACATCCAGCTAAGAGAAATTCTAGAAAGAGATTGGAGACAACAGGGTGTAGGAAATTGTTAAAGAACAAGAATACCAAAAACACCATACAAGGCTATTTTCCAGAGCTAGGGTTTGAGTTTCTCAACTGAAACGGCCCATTAAATGGCTAGTATAATTAATGGAAGGATAACAGGGAAGCTTCTCAAAGCCGCGTCATTGAGTAATTTCCGAACACCAAGGAGGAAGTTTCCGGAGAGGAAAAAGCAGGTGGTGTACAAAGGATTAGGAACTGGAATGGCACTGAGCTGCTTAACAACAGTGTTGGAAGCTGCAAGACGTGAAGCAATGCATTCATAATTTAGGAGGAAAAAGATTTTCAACCCAGAATTCTATACCTGGTCAAACCATCATCAAGTGTGAAGATAAAAAATACATTTTTGGAAATACTAGGTCTCAAAACGTAGACCTCAAAGGTATATTTTCCTTAGGAATCTACATAGGATATCTGTCACCTGAACTAGGGATTTAACCTCAAAAGAGAAGATGTGGAATTCAGGAAACATTATCTAACACAGGAAAGTAAGGTAGGGAAGTCCTGGGGTGAGGGATGTGCATGCAGCAGGCCTGGAAAATAACAGCCTGGATTGAAGCAAAGGGAGAAAAGACTGCAAGGAAGACTTTTTCACTGATAAATTCATTGGTTCGTTTGACCACATGTAACAAATAATCTTAAGACAATCCATTTCATCATATAGGAAGAATTAGCTAAAGGTGCTTGGAAAACTAAACAAATGAAAAAGAAAGCAGTTATGCACTTCAGAGAATAAGAAATTTGAACATAAAGGAAATATTTCCATGGTATTATTATGGTCATAATAATGTAAGCACTGAATGTTGATTTGACCAAACATCTTAATGCTGTAATACATAAGTATATTAGGAGATCAATATGTATGAGTGTGTGCATGTGTGCGAGGGTGTAAAGTAAGAGAACTGCACCCACATCTACTCTAAAAGTAAACCAGTAGGACTCCATTTCCAAAAACAGTAGCATAAAGAGAATGGGCAATTCCATTATGCAGACAAGTACAAAGCTGTACACGTTCAAAAAATTATTAACCACCACCACTGGAAAATGACCAGAATGAAGCAATGATTTGAGAAGTGTTTAATTATGAAAAAGTGCTGCTGCATTCGGTTAGAATGGCAAATTTTTGTTTGGGAGCATTGCCATCCTCCCCTCTCCCCCCTACTTGGTCAGGAAAACCCCACAGCATTATTGTCTACAGAGAGTGGATTTGGTTCAGGGTAGGCAACAGGGAAACTAGAAATTTGAGAAGGAGATTTTAGAAGCAAGAGGACCAAGGAGGGACTGAGATGATAACTTCTTCACACAACTCTGGCTGACTGCTAAACTGTACGTGCGCACGGAAGATGCCGGAGAATCCAATGAGAATTGAGGGCCTGGGGACGCCTGCATATTTACTGTGCCTTTGATTACATTTCTCAATCCACACACAACTTGGGCAGTGGAAGGTGGAAGCCTTACTGGCTATTTGAGCAGAACCTCTCCCCAAATTATTTGCTTACAGCTAAACTGTGCAGATATAGTAAATACTCTCCAGGGAGCCAGGCTAAACAAAATAAAACTGAGCAGAGACATTAGTGGCTACTGTGGGAAGACGTAGTCCACACTTTGAGTCTAGGCTAGTTAATTGACTACTTTACGTATAAACCACAACCCTTAAAGAACAAAGTAAAATCCCAAATTGCTACAATGTGTTACATAAAATGTCCTATTTCTATCCAGAAATTATTAGACATGCAAAGAAACAGAAAAGAGTGATTCATACTCAAGAAAAAAACAAGACTCAATAAATAGGTGCTAAGTAAGCACAAATATTAGATTTAGCAAAGATGGTGAAGCAACTATTATAAATATGGCAAAGAATTAAAAGGAAAGAACCTCTTGAGTCAACTAGTAGCAAATCTCAATAAATTGGAAACTTCAAAGAAAGAATCAATTGGTAATTATAGAGCTGAAAAGTACAGTAACCGAAAAGAAAAATTCACTATATTAGCTAAACCACATATTTGACATGACAGAAAAAAAATCATTGAACTGGAAGATAAATTTAATAGAAGTTAACCAATCAAAAGAAAAGAGAGAAAAGAATCTGAAGCAAAATGAACAGAACCTATGAGATTTGTGGAAGAATACTAAATGTTTCAATAAACGTGAAGTGGAATTTCAGAAGGTGGGGAGAAAAAGAAAGGATTGGGGAAAAAAATTGTAGAAAAAATGGCTGAAATCTTGGCAAATTTGGTGAAAAAAGATTATCTTTCAGATCCAGGAATTGCAATGAATCTCAAGTAGGATAAACACAAAGAGCATCTCACCTGGGCACATTGTTGCCAAATTCGCAAAGGCCAAAGATGAAGAGAGAATCTTGAAAGTAGCAAGAGAGAAACAAAGTATCACATACAGGGATTGCATGATTCAACTAAAGCAGACTTCTTAGAGAAATGACAGCCAGGACACCGAAAATGAGCTATTCAAAACGCTGGGGGGAACAAACTCCCCAAAACACCTGTCAGCCAGCAATTCTGTATCCAAAAAAAACTGTCCTTCAAAAACAAAGGCAAAATAAGGACATTTTCCTATAAATAATGGAAATAATACATTACCAGCAGAGCTTCTCCACGAAAAATGCTGAAAGAAATGCTTCAGGCTGAAATGACCGACACTAGATGGTAATTGGAATCCATAGGAGGGAACGAAGAGCAAAATAAACGGAAAATTGGGGGTAAACTACCTCAAAAGCAAACTTGAAAGAGGTTAGCACAAAATTGAAGCCACCTTTTCACTGCAGTTTGCCAGTCTTCTAAAATTAGAACTTTTGATTTGGTTGGTTTGAGAAGTAAGGACAGAAATCAAAGACACAAGATGAGAACCTGGCAGGTGACTACCTGCACAAAAATATGAAAGCCTAAAGGTCCATACCCTCACAGTGAGGGCGAGTCAGAAGTGGAACAACCCTGTGAATTACAGATAGGTTATCAATCCTTTGGGACTTAGGGAATTTCAAGTCTTGAACTTGGTCTAGACATAACATCATGTGCCTGGCAAAATCAAATGCAAATCACCTCTGGAGGAAAATACCTTCATTGTAAAACTCATATTATTCCCACAAATAATTTGCCAAGTACAGTGTTTAGCATACAACCAAGGATAAATAAGCACACAAGTAAACTAGACTGCCATCAGCAGAAACTAACAAAAGTGGCAAACAGTAGAAACAGACTTATGCTATTAGAAATATTGAATGTAAACTGTAAGGTAACCAGGCTTACTAAATGTAACAAGATAAAAGACAGGTTTAAAGATATTGAAAGGAAAAGGCAACAATATCAGTCAAGAAATTTGAAAAAGATCCACCATAGAATTTCTAAAAAATATATTATAATTGAAATTAAAAATTCAATGGGTGGTTTAAGAGCACATTAGGTACAAGTTGGAGAAAGAATTAATGAACAGAAGATAAATGAGAAGAAAAACCTGTATTCTAGCACAGGAAAAGAGAGAATTGCTGAGAATTTTGCAAAAGTGATGGAAAAAAAACAGTGTACAGATTTAAGAGTTCCAATGAATTCTAATTAAATGAGGCCCAAGTAAGGTAAATAAAATATCTTTAGCTGTACATGTCAGAGTGATACTGCAGAAAAATAAAAAACAGAAAAAATATTAATAGCAACCAAAGAGAAATGACAGATCACCTTCAGAGGAACAGCAGTAATGGAAGTTTGAAAACAGCAGAAAGATGCTTTCAGTGTGCACAGAGAAATAACTGTTAATCTAGGATTTTATATCAGATGAAAATGTCATTCAAGGATGAAGACAAAGATAAATATATTTCCTGGCAAACAAAAATTAGGACAATGTGCTACTACTAGTTTCTTATTAAAAGAAATCCTACTTGTACCTCAGGTAGAATAAAATGATCCCAGATAGAAGGTCTAAGTTCCAGAAGGATTAGTAAAGAGAGTGGTAAATATGTGGATGATGCTAAATGAATATTAACTGTATAAAATTAATAATACCTGTGAGATTAAATTATTGAATTAAATTATAGTTTAACAACAACTGGGAAAAAGGGATCACTTCATAATGTTAAAGGGTTCAATCCTGTATCTAGTAACGTAACTTCAAAATAGTAAAGTGAAAATTGAACTTCAAGGACAAATAAATAAATTTATCATCATGGTTCTAGATATATGATGATCTGTTAAATTGTCCATTGATTTTTATTTTTTGGCCCTTTTCTGTGTGTTATTTTGAGCAATTGAAAACATTTTCAGGAAATCTACCAGCAACAACTTTCTTTCTTATTAAAACAATTAAAAATTTTTTTGTCACACCATTTTTAATGACTACATAGAATTCTCTTGCCTAAATGTGAAATTGTTTATTTAACCCAACCTATTGTGAATTTTTAGATGTTTGTTTTCAGTATTTTTCTGTTAATATTAAGAACATCTTGGGGCTGGCCCCATGGCCGAGTGGTTAAGTTTGCACACTCTGCTGCAGGTGGCCCAGTGTTTCGTTGGTTCGAATCCTGGGCGTGGACATGGCACTGCTCATCAAACCACGCTGAGGCGGTGTCCCACATGCCACAACTAGAAGGACCCACAACGAAGAATATACAACTATGTACCGGGGGGCTTTGGGGAGAAAAAGGAAAAAATAAAATCTTTAAAAAAAAAAAAAAGAACATCTTTATAGGTAA